CTTTAAGGTCTTTGAGGTAGTAACCTTGTTTTGAATTTCAAAGAGCATTAGCCATGGTACTAGCACATATATGGAGCACAAATTCATTTGATACCTTCTGATTTGAATTAAATATGGGCTGAACAGGTGCTGTAATTCAGGATGCCAAAGTAAGGATAAGTATGAAGGGAAGGAAATGGGCTTTTAGACTCACCATAGACCCAGAATTTGGTGGAGCTCTGGAGGGAGTGTGTTAATATCATAAAGAGGTAATGATAACAAATAGTGTTCCTGCTTCATGATGTCCACAACATCTGCACATTCCTGGACTTTTCTGTTACTCTAGGTTGCTAGCTCAAGATCAGCTTTCTGGAATGATTTTTCTCCTACTCCCAAAGTAGAGCACCTCATATGATGACATGCTAGCAATCGGTCAGGAAGGCAGAGATTAGTTACTCATAATTTTCTCCAGCTTCCTAAGAGATATGAGGGTACTAAATTAAATATAGTCCATTGTTATCTCTGCGCCTCAAGGTTTAATCCTTTCATTTTGGCTAATTATTCTAACATGTACAAAGATATGCAGGTGGCTCATGCCTGTAATCCTAGCCCTCTAGGAGGCTGAGGCAGGTGGATTGCTTGAACTCAGGGGTTAGATACAAACCCAAGCAAGAGTACATTATTCTAATATGTGCAAAAATAATATCAAATAACAAAAAGAACATTAAGAGTTGAGGGAATCTCTATTCTAACATTCGTTCTATTCATCAACTCTCAGATCTTGGTCAAGTCCTTTAAACTCTATCACCTCATTTTATATGTTTATAAATTGAGGAAAATACTTATCAAGCCTATGACATACTTAATTTTAAGGATCAAATGAAATAATATAGGCGGAGTGCAGTGGTTCATGCCTGTAATTTCAGCACTCTGGGAGGCTGAGGTGGGTGGATTGCTTAAGCTCAGGAGTTCAAGACCGGCCTGAGCAAGAGTGAGACCCTGTCTCCACTAAAAATAGAAAAACTAGCTGGGCATGATGGCATACTCAGGAGGCTGAGGCCTAAGAGTTTGAACTAGCTGTGAGATATAATGATACAGTACTCTACTCAGGGCAATAGAGTGAGACTCTGTCTCAAAAAAAAGAAAGAAAGAAAGACAGACAGACATAACATAGATAAATATACTACATATACAACATATACTATCCATGGAAGGGGATCAAGTATTATCATCAAAAAAAATCTGGAAAAAAATATTATCATCAAGAGCAAACTTTTTTTGAGACAGAGTCTTACTCTGTCACGCTGAGTTGAGTGCTGTGGTGTGATAGCTCACAGCAACTTTAAACTCCTGGGCTGAAGCAATTCTCTGTCCTCAGCCTCTGAAGCAGCTGGGACCACATGCTCAGCTAATTTTTTCTATTTTTAGAAGAGACAGGGTCTCACTCTCATTTGGGCTCGTATCTAACCCCTGAGTTCAAGCAATCCACCTGCCTCAGCCACTTAAAGGGCTAGGATTACAGGTGTGAGCCACCAAGCCTGGCCAAGAGCAAACATTTATTGAGGACTTACCATACGCAAGAAGACATTATGGTACTACTGAGATATATAAGACTGGTTGCTGCCCTCAAGAATAATAAGAAAGTAATTACTAGTGGGGCATAGTGGGTCAGGCCTGTATCCTAGCACTCTGGGAGGCTGAGGCAGGTGGATTGCTTGAGCTAAGGAGTTTGAGACCAGCCTGAGCAAGGGTGAGATCCCATCTCTACTAAAAATAGAAAAATTAGCCAGGCATGGTTGTATACACGTGTAATCCCAGCTACTTGGGAGGATGAAGCAAGAAGATGGCTTGAGCCCAGGAGTTTGAGGTTGCTATAAGCTATGATGCCACGACACTCTGTCCTGGGACAACAGAGTTCTGCCCTCCTCCCCAAAAGTAATCACCAATGTAAGGTAGCAAATTATGTATGTGAATGAGTTGCAGAGGTACCAAATGCTATAAAAATTCAAAAATAATTTGAAGAAGTGAGGAAAAGCTTAATGAAAAGGGATCAAAGTTTGATCAGGAGGATAAATAGGAGAGAACAGTGGTAATTGGCTTCTTGGTGGCCCCCAAGGGTCCCCACCTACTGGTATTCATGCCTTTGTGTAACCCTTCCTCTTCAGCATGGGCTAAACCTACTGACTCACTTCTAACAAACAGAATAGGGCAGAAGTGATATCACGTCTAAGATTATGTTACAAAAGACCGCGGCTTCCATCTAGGGCACCCTCTTTCACTCTCTGAGGCTCTGATCATCTGCCATGTTGATATAGCTGTGAAATACTCTCAGGCACCCTAAGAGAGACATGGTAAGAGAAACATGCCAGTAATCATATGACTTAAGTGTGGAAGCAGATTTCTCCGCCCCATTCTCCCTCATTAAATCTTCAGATGAGACTAACTCAGCCAACATTTAGATTGCAGCCTTATGAGAGATCTTGAATCACAGACACTTAGTTAAGCTATGCCCTGATTCCTGATCCATAGAAACTATGAGATAATAAGTGTCTGTTGTTCTAAGCCACTACCTGGGCAATTTGTTATACAGCAATAGATAACTAATGCAAGTGCCTTCTAGACAGTAGAAATGAAACTGTGATGAATACAGATTAGGGTGAGATGATAGATATTTATGTCTGAAAGGAATCCTAAGTATAAACAGAGAGATGAGGGAAGGGCAGCCTCTACCAAAGGATGTCAGTAGCACTACCTTCATGTGGGGGCAAAGGAGACAAGTACAAGTACAATGTATATCCAAAACTCTGCTTCCCATCACTGAGTGCTGGGACTTGGTTATGTCATAGTTTTCCATGACTTCTTCTGCACTACTTTGGAAATTTGACTTCATTGCCTACTATCATTCAGTTATATTGTAGACATACAAATATATATCTTATATAATGCAAATAAGGGCCACAGGACTTTTAAGCTTACTAAAAAGCTTACTCTGTATTCATTCAATTGCAGAAGGGCTATGTATAAGAAGGTCCATAGTAAGGCAAGGGTACTTATTTTTAGCTCAATTCTAATTCTAATATATCATCTCTTAGGATATATATACATTGAATATTTCAAGCAAGTTACATAAATGCTTCCTTTAGTTGAACTTTAGATACCTTTCACTAAAAAACAACAACAAAGAATACCACTAGGCCCCGAAATAACTGTCAAGTATTAGAACTCAACAGAAGTAACCTACAATAAACTTTATTAAAATCCAAATTCTGCCATTAACTTCTTATGCAAGACTTCTGCTGAAATTGGTAGAAAGGATGTGACCAAAACCAAGAAAATTATGTCTTTAATTTTAGTCATCTTACCTGAATGAGAAAAGTTATCTTTTTTATTTTATTGACTTTGGGTTCTAAATAGCTGGGGGCATCAGCATGCCAGACTTTAGGTTGTACTACAAGGCCATAGTGGTCAAACAGCATGGTACTAGCACAAACATAGAGACATAGACATTTGGGATCAAATAGAAAACCAGGAAATGAAACTAACACCTTACAGTCAGCTAATCTTTGATAAACCAAATAAGGACATAAACTGGGGGAAAGAATCCCCATTCAATAAATGGTGCTAGGAGAACTGGATATCCACATGTAGAAGATTGAAACTGGAACCGCACCTTTCTCCACTCACAAAAATTGATTCAAGATGCATAAAAGACCTAAATTTAAGGAATGAAATGATAAAAATCCTCAAAGAAAGCATAGGAAAAGCACTTGAAGATATTGGCCTAGGGAAAGACTTTATGAAGAAGACTTCCAAGGCAATTGCAACAACAACAAAAATAAACAAGTGGGACTTAACTAAACTGAAAAGCTTCTGTACAGCTAAGGAGATTACAACTAAAGCAATGGGAACAACCCAATGGGAAAGGATATTTGCATATTTTGAAACAGACAAAGCTTCATAACTAGGATCTATAGAGAACTCAAATTAATCCACATGAAAAAAGCCAACAATCCCATATATCAATGGGCAAGAGAGATGAGTAGAATCTTCTCTAAAGAAGACAGATGAATGGCTAGCAAACATATGAAAAAATGCTCATCATCCCTAATTATTAGAGAAATGCAAGTTAAAACTACCCTGAGATATCATTTAACTCCAGTGAGAAGGGCCCACATCACAAAATCCCAAAACTACAGATGCTGGTATGAATGTGGAGAGAAAGGAACACTTTTACACTGCTGGTAGGACTGTAAACTAATACAACCTTTTTGGAAGGAAGTATGGAGAACCCTCAAAGAACTCAAGCTAGACCTCCCATTTGATTCTGCAATCTCATTACTGGGCAGCTGCCTAGAAGGAAAAAAAATCTTTTTTACCACAAGAACACTTCCACTAGACTGTTTATTGCGGTTGAATTTACAATCGCCAAAATGTGGAAACAGCCTAAATGCCCACCAACCCATAAATGGATTAACAAGCTGTGGTATATGTATGCCATGAAATACTATTCAGACATTAAAAATGATGGAGATTTTACATCCTTTGTATTAACCAGGATGGAGGAAAACATTATTCTTAATAAAGCATCACAGAATGGAGACGCATGAATCTTATGTACTCAAAAAATTTTTTTTGGCCTTGGCTGGGTTTGAACCCACCACCTCTGGCATATGAGGCCGGCACCCTACCCTTTTAAGCCACAGGCGCCGCCCTTATGTACTCAATTTTGATATGAGGACAATTAATGGTGGAGGGTGGGGGAAGGGCAGAGCAAAGAGAGAGAGAGAGAAGGAGGCAGGAGGGGGAAAGGAAGAGCAGAGGGTGGGAAGGAAGGAGGGGGTGGGAGATGGAAGAGCAGAGAGAGAAAGTGGGGAGGAGAGAGGAGGTCTCAGTGTGTGACACACCTTTTAGGGGCAAGACACAAGAAGGACTTCACCAAACAAATGCAATCAGTGTAACCTGGTTTCTTGTACCCTCAATGAATCCCCAACAATAAAAAAAAAAAAAGCTATTTTACTTACCATTTGGAAGCCCCAGGCATATAAAAGCTCTCATCATTAACAGGAGTCGTTAACACACGCTGGTTTACAACATTTAAATACTTCTCGATGTGGACCTGTTACAGAAAAGTCAAAGTTTAGGCCATTATAGCGGACTTAAGATTCTCAGATAATTTACTTAAATTCATTAGGTTAACACTCTGAATTGTGTAATTAAGCCAAAAACCACAATATAGTTTGTGTTATTGCTTGCCTAAGGTATCATTAGGCATCTTAAGGACAAATTGCTTCAACTATCCCAAACAGAATAATAAATAATGGAAACTCAAAGCCTAAGTGACCTGTAGCATGCCTTAAAAATGAAACTGTGCACAGTAGTCGGAATATCACTTAACCAGGAACTAGGCGATACAGAGATAGAGTAATGTCTTTCTCTTAGGGGAACGTCAAGGAAGCATCCAAGGAAAGCATTTGGCCTTTAGGTAACAGGTTATTTAAAATGGCCAACCCAAGACTCTAGCTGGTAATCATGGTCAGGTAATATAAAACGATGATGTGCTCGCCTAAAGGGGCTATAAAATACATATTTCTCAGCCTCAGGAGCTAAGAGATAAAGCTGCTAACACAGCAGAGTGAAAGTCTGAAGCAAAAGTAGAGACACTGAAAATAAGATGTCAAGAAGATGGAGATGGACTTTGTTTGGAAAATGAATCTCATTAGCTAACACATCCTTATTTTATAAAGGAATAGTATCCTGGCCGCTCTTGCCCTTAGCTCTGTTTATAATGATGAAGTTCCTACCCACTTTATTTCTCTGTTCCCAAACTAGTACATTTCTTTAGTTTTATCCATTTGATTATAATATTACAAAAATGAATAATTCAAAATAATGAAGTTCTTAGGGAAAGGTCAACTCTTATTTTTTAGAATCCTGGTAAATCCCAGTAAGTCTACATTGTATTGGTATGAATTTTTTTTTTTTTTTTTTTTTGGTTAGACATACTGTTGGATGTAACTTTATTTTAAGCTCTAAGTTATTTTTATCAAAACACATTTGGCGATTGGCACCCATAGCTCAGGGGTTACAGCGCTGGCCACATACACCAAGGCTGGTGCGTTCAAACCCGGCCCAGGGCCTGCTAAAGAACAATGGTAACTGCAACAAAAAAATAGCCAGGTGTTGTGGCAGGCACCTGTAGTCCCAGCTACTTGGGAGGCTGAGACAAGATAATTGATTAAGCCCAAAAGTGTGAGGTTACTGTGTGCTGTGATGCCACAGCACTCCACTGAGGGCGACATAGTGAGACTCTGTCACAAAAAACAAACACAAAAACAAAAATAAACAAAAAACACATTTTGGGAGTTGTCACTGGATAATATTATATTTAATCACTTAAATTATTTGTGAGACATGACAAATCAATCAGTTAATGATTATAATTATCATTGTAAAGAAACAAAATAAGAATGCTGATAACTGCCCTAAAATAAATCCAACTCTGTTAAAGAATTACACAGGGTCTTGCAACAATTCTTCCCTTCTGCAGGCTTCTGGCATTTTATTTAATATCTAAAGCTCTACTTACTTTTAACCCTAATTCAGTCCTTTTGATTGCTGTTTCAAGATTCTGAATGTCTAGTGTGTCTCCTTTGTCTTCAGGTGAAAATTCTGTTAATTTTTCCTTTAATTGATAAAGGTCATCTTGGACCTGTAAATATAAAAAATACAAAATATTTAAGGAATACAGACATGGTCCACTTATAGCAGTTATTTGTCTTAGAAGTTTATAATATGCTTAAATTGCAAAAGCCATAAAGTTAATTTTATGGCATTTATTGAAAAGGACCACCTCTACAGTTTTAAGATGGTCATTATTTAGAATATTCCATTGTGGCCTTCAGATTTTGAAACACTATGCTCTCTCACACAATTTATGGGCTATTTTCCTCCCATTAGAAATAGATTTAAGATGAAACTGCAACTCAAAGGCTTCTGCTTTATCAGGTGGTAAAACAAGAGGTGAGATGGAGATCGTAAGAAGTCCGTGTCAGACTCCAATTTGTACAGATTGGTTAAGAAAAAAGAGAACAGAAAACTTCCAGCAAAGTTCCAGGGGAAGCACTGTCTTTCAAAAAAGTATTGTAAATGCGTTGCCAGGACCTGTTGGTTTTCTATTGGAGCTACATCATCTCCACTTACTGCTCTCAAGAATCAGTTCTGTAGGTGTTGTGGCCATGATTTTGTTTCAAGTACTGAGAAATGAAAATAACCCCTGAAGAGGTAACATGTTATTACTTTAACATTTTCCTTGAAAATGATGAACATCTCTCCAATATCAGCACCCTCAGAACAAAATAGGCATGAAATTATGAGAAAGCACAAGATTTTCTGCATTCATATTACAAACCAAACTTCAGATAAATACAGATGGCACCAATTATTGTATGGGCTGCTGCCACAAGAAAAACATTTTGTTATGCAAATTTATGAACCCAACACCTGTTTCAGCAATAGTCACACCAATAACAATCTGCAGACTGGGTTGCTAAAGGCATTTTGAAATGGTTACCTTTTTCTCCGTTAGTATAACTGGACTCACATATTGATCCAACCTATGTCATTGATTACTTGATTGTTCTCACAGAGCCAAGTATTCAAAAGACCAGAATTTGCATCTTTTCAATGATGGGTATCATAGTCTGGCAGACACATCTGATCATTTGTACTCTGTACAAACTGTCATGTAAAGCCTCCGGGGCTCACAGATTGAAATGTGAACCCACCTACTCCTTGATTGTAGGGATTAAGATGAAGATGTACTTCTTCTGATTGTTTTGCTCAAATTACTATTGAAAGCTGATTTATCATCTAAGCATAAAAAGCCAGTTCAAGGGCAAGGCCCTTTTGAGGCCCATTATTTTTTGGTTCCTCTTTTAAATGTACTGACTTTCCTTCTTCTAATACTTGTAACTCCATGTATCTTTCTATAATTATGTCTTTGAGATGCTAGAGGAAGTAAAAACTGCTCTGGATCACTCATTAGGGTATGAAAGGCTTGGTTTTTTCATCTGCCTTGAGTGAACAACCATAGTTATTCATAGAGTTGTAAGATAATCTGTAATAGGTTTGGTATGGAGCATAGAACTCAATAAAAGGCACTGAACATAACTCCTAGCTCTAGCACTTAGTAATCATATGATCTCCACATACATCATCCAAATTTTCTGAACCTTTAACTTCTTCATCAAGAAAAAAAAGAATAGGCCAGGTGCGATGGCACATGTATTCTCAATCTGGGAGGTTGAGGAGCTCATGAGTTCGAGACCAGCTTAAGCAAAAAGCAAGACTCCAAAAAGCAAGAATAGGCCAGGTGCGATGGCACATGCCTGTATCCTCAATCTGGGAGGTTGAGGAGCTCATGAGTTCGAGACCAGCTTAAGCAAAAAGCAAGACTCTGTATCTACTAAAAATAGAAAAACTGAAGGAAGAGGATTGCTTGAGCTCAAGAGTTGGAAGTTGCTATGAGCTATGACACCACTGGCATTCTACCCTGGGCAACAGCTTGAGACTCTGTTTCAAAAAAAGAAAAAAAAAAAAGGGAATTAAGTTTCCTACCTGTTAGAATTCTTGAATGAAAATGAGGTAATAGGTTTGAAAGTAAATTAATATAGACTTTGGTGCCAACAGGTATGAACAGGTATCCTGCTTCTTCCTTTACTAAACTAAATTTGGGAAAGTGACTTAGACTTTTAAAGGCTTAGTATTCTTATCTGTAAAATGAAGATAGCAATTATCTTAGGATAGAGGCAAGAAAAAAATAAATTAAAATATGTAAAGTGTTACACAGGAAAGCACAGAACAAATGTTAATTCTCCTTTCTTGAATTATGAAACTCCTTACACTATAAGTGATAGTCAGAAAATGTTCACTGAATTAAATTGTTCTCTAATCTTCCTCAAGAGCTTTTTCCTTTTCTTGTGAGATATTTTCTCCTCCTCTCTTAATAACCACTTGCTTAAATGTAATGGAGGTAAGTTCTATAGGAATTTTTGTACTTGACTTGCCTAGTGAAAGAGACTTAAGTTCTAAATCTCTGTTCTTTCCTCAAATAGATCCAGTTTACCATATTAAAATTTTACACGTCACCCATTACCTCTGTGATCATCGAACATCACTTTCCATAAATTTTCTACTTGGAGGAAGATTATTATTTTGTTAGTTTAGGACAGAGCTGCATAATAAGCAGCTCTTGAAAGATTTTATGCAGCAAAGATTTGCTGTCGAGTGTAAAAGAGCCATGAAACTAGGCTCAGTATTGTCAGAAACAATATAAAATTCCATTGTCTTCATCTTTGCTAAAGAGAGAGTTTGGCTGAGTCATTCTCATCATTTCAAGTTATCTTTCACTTCATCCATTTTTATATTGTATGCACCTGGCAAATTAGACAGGGGAATTAATAAAAAAGACAGTGACACTATCAAACTTCCAATTAGTTCTATTATGCCCAGGTTTTTTTCCTGAGACAAGAGTCTCACTATGCTGCTCTTGGTAGAGTGCCATGGCATCACAGCTCATAGCAACCTCAAACTCTTGGGCTTAAATGATTCTCTTGCCTCTGCCTCCCAAATAGCTGAAACTATAGGCGCCTGCCACAGTGGCCGGCTATCTCGTTGCAGTCATCATTGTTGCTTAGCTGGCCCAGGCCAGGTTCGAACCCACTACCTTCAGTGCATGTGGCCAGCCATAACTACTATGCTACAGGTGCCAAGCCGCCAAGGTTGTTGCTAACATACAACTGTTGGATTATCGAAATATGATTTCCAAACTAATTAAAATGTTGATTGTGATTGCAAGGCCAGGTAATTCTTTTTGCACAAACAAATGTTTAATAGATCAAATAAGCATTTAGAAAGATATATTCAAAAGACACCACATTATTAATGAACCATAAGAATAAAACTTTTAAGAGTTACTAATAAAAACACAGAAACAGAAAACACCTTTAAGAAACATCCCAGGGTCACTACCACGTTTCTTTCTTTTCTTTTCTTTTCTTTTTTTTAGAGACAGAGTCTCATTTTATTGCCCTTGGTAGAGTGCTGTCGCATCACAGCTCACAGCAACTTCTAACTCCTGGGCCTAGGCAATTTTCTTGCCTCAGCCTCCTGAATAGTTGAGTCTACAGGTGTCCGCCACAACGCCCAGCTATTTTTTCATTGCAGTTTGGCCGGGGCCGGGTTTGAACCTGCCACCCTCAGTATATGGGGGTGGCACACTACTCACTGAGCCACAGGTGCCACCCTGTACCACATTTCTTCAACATTACTTCACAGGCATGTCATAGCCTATTTAAAGAGCAACAAATAGCCAGGTGCAGTGGCTCACACCTGTAATCCTAGCACTCTGGGAGGTGGAGGTGGGTAGATTGCCTCAGAAATGGGGGACCAGAATGCAAGAGAGAGACCCTGTCCCTAAAAATAGCCACGCACTGTGGTGGTTGTCTGTGGTCCTAGCTACTTGGGAGGCTGAGGCAAGAAGATCACTCGAGCCCAAGAGTTGGAGGTTGCTATGAGCTGTGACACTAGTAGAGCTGTCACTCTACTCAGGGTGACAAAGTGAGACTCTTGTCCCAGAAAAAAAAATCAACAAATATTGGATATATCACATTGGGTAAGTTACTTTACCTCTTTGTACTTTAGTGCCTTCTGTAATCTGGGGCTCAAAATGATATCTACCTAATAGATTTGTTGTTAGGACTTAATAAGATAATCCAAAGCTCAGTGTCTGGCTCTCAATGAATGTTGGCTATTATTTTAATTATCATGCTGATTATTATCACTATAGTAAAACTCACTATTCAGATTAATTGAGGAAAGATCCAGCTGAAATTGTAAAAAATCTAAATTATAGATTTGAAAGAGAAAGTAGTTAAGAAAATTCTGCCTAGTAGAATTATACGTGGAGATGGTAATTATATTTCCTGAACCAAAATGAAAGCATGGACTTTGATAGATGATCTGACAAGGGGACACAATAGTCAGAATGAGACTATCCTGGAAAATCCAAACATTTAATGTTTTCATAAAAAGTTACAAAAAGAGTTTATAATCAGAGCACTGAGTATTTGTAAATATTTTCTCATAAGTAGCTTAGACATTTTCTAAAAATATTACTTTTATTTATTAATTTGTACTATCCATGAAAAAAGATATTTTCTAAACAATGCTAAAAGTTAATCCAGCTTCATACATTTTTGAACAAACCATAAATTATTGGAGACTAAATTAATGAATAGATCATTATCCAGTTGATCAGGATCTATGAGCCCAGTACTGTGCTGGGTGTTGGGGGTCAGGGGTCCCATTTCCTGGAACCCAGTTGACCTGGTTTGATTACTTGGCTGAGGTAGAAAGTTCCAGGACACCACACGGTGGTAACTGAAAGTGTAAATGAATGGGAACTGGAAATAATAATGTAGCAGCACAGGCAGTGTGAATAGATAGCAAAGTAACTTGCATAAGTTTCAATGTAACAAAGAGAAATTTAATTTAGGAAGACAAAGAGAAAGTTTAGCATACTTCCAAAGAGAGCTGGAAGTAGGTTCCTCTCATGATAGAGAGGTGAGAGAGATGGAGACACAAAGGGCTTGCAGAGGTGTAAATACTCTCTCTGTTTGAAGAGGGTAAATACCCTCTCTGCAAGTCTTTCATTGGCTTCTCTGAACCTCCAGGCAGTATTGCCCTTTTCTATTGGTCACTGATTGTCTCTATTGGTCTTTGGTTACCTAGGTTACACTATACCCACATTCTTATAAGCCTTCCAGACTTCCTGGTTTACCAGGTCAGGTTTTCCTCCCACACCCCTTGTAGCCCTTCTCTTGGTGTCCCTTTTCACTGGGTATAATGGGGTATCCGTGTCCCTTCTCACTGGGTATAACGGGGTATCCAAAGAACCAGTTTGTAACTAACAGAGAAAGGAAATAGTCCTAAATATAAAGATAAGTTAACAATATTTTTTCTTTTTCTTCTAGGAACTTAGAACAAGGAGCAGCCTAAACTTAAGAGACAGAAATGTAAATAACACCAAATGGTAAGAACCCAGACCAAGTCCAATAGTAACTAACATTTACTGTTACACTTTCTGTTTCATCCTATATTTTAATCCTAAAAATACACCTATGGGGGAATTAATATTATTATATTCATTTTATACACGAGGGAATCTGAGGCTTAATAAGGCAACTGCTTAATTGGTGGAACTATTCAAATCCAGGTAGGCTGACGCTAGAACCTTCAAGCTTAACCATTAACTAGTACATGCTTAATATGTATAAATATACAAAGCTAATGGTTGGTGAAAATTCAGTCCATTTTTTGCAAGTTCCCAGGTGGTGCTGATATGCTGGTTCTGGGACTACACTTAAGAACCTCTGGCCTAAAGAGTTGCTTTATGTATTTGATTGAAATACAGACCTAACATGGCATATTAGAGTTTAGTAATTGGAGATTTAAAGTACCTCTGCTTTAAAGTCAAATTACATACACACAGAGACAAACTCACTCACTCATTTGCCAGAAACAACGTGATTGCATAAGGTCAGTGATTTTCAGTTGGTATGCTGTGGTACACTGGTGTACCATGAGAGGATCTTAGTTGTGCCTCAAAAATTTTTAAAGATTATTAATTAAATTATTTTCAAAAGAAGTTCAAAGCACAGTAAGTATGTTCTTTCTTTTGCTCTTTTTTTTTCTTTGCAGTTTTTGGCTGGGGCTGGGTTTGAACCTATGGTACCACCTCCAGTATTTGGGGCCAGCACCCTACTCCTTTGAGCTACAGGCTCTGCCCTACTCTTTTTGTTTTGATCACCATAATTTAAGTGTGCTGTGGAGGTTTAACTATAGGTTCAAGTGTGCTGTGAGATAAAAAAAAAAGTTTGAAAAACACTAGCCTAGGGCCTCGGCTAACAATAAAGGAGGCCTACTTCTATAGCAAAGAAAAATTATGTAGCTTTCAGAAAATTAGGTCAATTTAGAGTGAGAAGGGAATGTAATCCAAACTATATATTCTACAGAAGAGGAAACTGAGGCCCAGAGAGGTTAAGTGATTAGCCCAAAGTTATCCACTTGTGAGGATGTCAAAGCCATGGTCAGATCTCAGTATTCTGACTTCCAATCAAGTGTTCTTTCCCCTGCATGTTGTAATTATTGATAGCCTGTTTGAGGGATATAAACCACAGTGCCAAGTAGAAGTAGAATTCATGTTGGCTTGTCTCAGAGTGGTGATGCTATGTGCTCACAAGTACTAAGGACACACTCAGGGAAAGTCTTCCAACTCTCCCTCATTATACATGTTCTATACGTAGAGAAGAGAATTTTACATTATACAGAGATCAGCCTCACTAATTAGTTTAACATGTAGTCCCTTCCTCTACACCAGGGGTCCTCAAACTTTTTGAACAGGGGGCCAGTTCACTGTCCCTCAGACCGTTGGAGGGCCGGACTGCGGGCCCCAGGACGAGTCGGATGCTAAACAGGACAGGCAACGGTGGCAAAAATACCTGGCGGCCAGATAAATGTCCTAGGCAAGCCGCATGTGGCTCACGGGCTGTAGTTTGAGGACTACACAGCCCTTCACCTAGCATTTCTGCAGTAAACCTTTCAAACAAGTGAGTACACTGATCAACATGGATATAACTATTCTTAGCTCTTCTGTTTCATTTTACAATCCGATGTCAACAGCTATTTATTACTGTAACGTTGTATCCTAGGTTAACCAAGTAGCTCCCTCTAGATCCCACACTGAAGTGAAGAGGCTTCTGGTTTTAATATACTATCCTGCACTATTCCAAACCACAGGGAAGCAGAGTTTGGAAACAGAATTAACTCAAGGAGAAGTGTGAAATTGAGCACAAGAATTCTCTCCAGGTTCTGGTTTCTTGTTCAAAGATGTTCCAGGTCTGGAAAAATAGAGGAAACTAAAGAGAAACTTAATTGCTCCTATAGTCAACATGAAACAAACTGTGAGGAAGAATCCATTGTTTCCAGGTAGGAGTCTTCACTACTGTTGCAATGTTTACTTGGAGTCTATAAATAAAGCGTGGGTAAGTGCAAAGGAAGAATTAACCTTACCCAAAGGGAGGCTGGACTTTGCCCTTGGCTTTGGGGAAGTGATATCTTGGCCCCCCCGAAATGTTCTGCCTGATAGATGCCCCCAGACATTTTAACATGATTTATGATGGAGGCTTTGATCCATGCTGTATTTAGTTCAGAACTCTGGCTGAGTGGAAAATTAAAGGCATTAAGTGTGACATCCAGGAGGGGCTGGAGACTAAAGGTCAGCCATAAGGACAGTGTGAGATTGAACCCCAATAAAAACACTGGCTACCAAAAGCCCAGGTAAGCTTCTCCGATTGGCAACACTCCACAAATATTGTCATATATTGTGGCGGGGAGAAGTATGACTCCACAGGGATCAGTGTTTGACCTCTCTTGGACCCTTGCCCATGTATCTCCTCCTTTGGTCAATTTAAATTTGTATCCTTTCACTATAATAAAACCGTAACTGTAAGCATAAAACACATCTTCTGTGTTTTGAGTTACTCTAGTGAATAGTCATGGGGATCCTAAATTTGTAACACGATGGTCTGAAGTGAAGATGGTTCTAGGGAGTCCTGAACTTGCAGCTGGTGTTGAAGTGAGGGGCAGTCTTGTGGAGACTATTTGCTCAGACTTTGCATTTTGGCTAAACACATTGCAGGATGAGAGTGAGAGAGAGGATGACAAAAGATAAGATTTAAGCATAATTCATAAAGGGGAAGCCTATGAAGTTGATGACTTTAGGAGCTTATATTTGGGAAAATGTGGATTTAGGGAATTCTCTCCCAGATAGGAGGTAAGCAATCAAAATAATGACAGACCCTTAAAAAAGATGGAGACTTTCCATCTTTTGTGTTAACCTGGATAGAGTTAGAACACAATCTTGTTAAAGCATCACAAGAATGGAGAAGCAAGAATCCAATGTCCGCAATTCTAATATGAAGTCAGTAGATGATCTAATAGGAGGGGTGGGTAGGGGAATGAGGTAGCCGGGAAAGGAAAAGCTGGAAGGGGATGGAGGTCAAGGTGTATGGTACATCTGTTGGGGTGGGACACAGCATAAGGTGGACTTTACCTGACAAATGTAATCAGCATAACCTAATTCTTTGTACACTCAATGAATTCCAAACAATAATAAAAAAAATTCCACGGAAAAAGTAAGATGCCTTTGAAGAGTGAAGCCTAATTCAGACCCACTCAGTTAAAGCACTGATAGAACGACCTTAGGCAAGTTACCTCAAGCCTTAGTCAGATGGGGCTATATGTAAAAGTTAAAAGTGATAGTATATGTGGAAACATTAGAGCTGCCATTTGTAAATATTAAGAAACAAAGTACCCTAAACATTTTAGAAAAATCTGAGGACTATAACTGTTACAAACTGAGTTATACTGAGGAAGTCAAGACTTCCTCAGTTTTTTCCCTTAGGTCAGAAAGTTTTTTCTCTGAGTTTCAAAATTTGTCACGTTTCTATATGCAAAACGTAACTTGATTTGCAATCCAAGTTACCTTAAAAGCATTTTTCTGTGTGTTTAAGGGACATGTAGATCCAAAAATTGGCGTGCCTAAGAAAAAGCAGTTCACATTATTTCAATTTCTCCCCACATTTCTTATCTCCTCTCACGTGTCTGCTTTGTCTCTCCACTTCTCTGAGTCATGGGTTCAAATTTTCTAGAATATAACGTTTTTTAAATGGTGCCTCAGTGTTCCGACGTGAACAATTTTAAGAGTTACGTCAGAGGCAGAATGGTTGGGCTTCTGGTGCGCAAGGTGCAGCGTAAAGCACCGGGAGAGTGTCAGGCCCGTGCGGAGGTCGCGGTGGGCGCTTTGGGGAGTGTTGGAGGCAGTCTGAGGGCAGCGCCCCAAGTGCGGGGACCCGAGTCAGTCCGGGCGCTGGGCCTCCCCTGGGCGTGTAGAGGCTGGGCAGGGCCGAGGAGGCCCGTTTCCCACCTGGATTAAGATGGAGCCAACAGGATCGTAGCTCTCAGTCTCCTCGGTCATGACGAGGGCCGGGCGAGGCCACCTCCCGGCGGAGGCGCTGCCTCCCGCTACTTTATCCTCCCGACTGGGCGCTGGTCCCCATGGCAACGCCACGCTCGGCGCGGCCTGTTCCACTCTAGGAGCGGAAGGGAGGATGAGAGCGGGCTCGGCGGCCGGGCCATTCGGATAACACGCCCTCCCCGGCGCGTCTCCCCCTCGCGCCGGCGGCCGTGGTGCCGCCCAAGGCGGAAGCGGCTCCCTGACGGAACCGGCTCTCGGGGGCCGCTATGGCTGCGGGTGTTCCCTGTGCGCTGGTTACCAGCTGCTCCTCTACCTTCACCGGAGACCGGCTGGTCCAACGTGAGTAGCGAGGCGCCTGGGCCGACCTCCAAAGCCCCTGAGCCACGGAGGGAGACAGCTCCAGGACCGCGGCCTTTCTCTAGGCCTTGTCCCCGCCTCGGGCACCGGGCACCTCTTCACTCCGTGGAAGTGCCTAGTCTCCCCTGGTGTCTGCGTTTCTGCCCACCGGCTCTACCTCTGCATTACTTTAGGCTTCCTAGGCAAAGTGACGCTGAGCCCTGCTCACCTCAGCTCACAGGTTGTTGCGAGGGTCCGTGGAGATGAACTAAGGGTCCTCTGGTTCATCTCAATGAGGGCCGAGTTAGGCGAGTGTAAGGTGCTGGAATCGTTAATGTTAAGATTTTTTCTTGACATTCCTGCTGCTGAGGTAGAGGGTATGTTTTCTGTGAATTCTTGGCTACCCCCGCTGTGTATAAAACTTATTAGCCTTGTCCCCTCCACTCTGCAGTTATTCATGAACTTCCTTTCTGCTGAGGTGTGCGTGTTCTGCCAACATTAGTTTTGGGGTATTCCTGGGCTTAGTGTTTCTGCTTTTGGATCTTCCTAGTGGCTGCCAAGCTAAGTAAGTCTTATGAGAAACCTTAGACAACGAGTCCAATACAGTAGAAAGAACAGCAGACTGGGTCATAGAACAACTGTACCACTTAAGGGCCCTGGGAAGTTAAATTATACATATATAACTCAGGACTCCTATTTTAAAAGTATGGCTTAGAATCAGAGCAGTGACTGTTAGTTGTATGATCACAGGCAAGTCACTTAACCTCTGCCCTTAAGTTTTTCTGTCTGTAAAATGGGGATTATTTTCACAGGATTGTGCCTGACTCAGAAGCTGGCACATAGTAAACATTCGAGAAATGATAGGTATTGTTATTACAATCTCTCTAGCCCTGTTTCCTGATCCTTAAAATGAGGCATATGAACCTATCTCACAGGATTGTTTGAAAGACAGGTGACAAGATATTTTGAAAGCACTTTGTATAAACTGTGAAGCATTATACAATTACAATTTCTTTTTTACACCTGTGAAATGACAGGATTAAGCAAGGTGTCCCTAATACACAAATATCCTATGATTTATCATTTGTGATCACTTGGAAAGTTCCTTGCTAGGATAAAAGTTTAATTATACCACTTGCTAAATGTTAACTAATTAATCTAATTATGCCATTTCCTTACCTCTAAGCAATATTCCTTCCCATTTCCTTCCTTCCTTTTTAAAAATTGTTTCAGTGTAAAACTAGTGCATACTCATTAAGTAAAATTGAGCATATGGAGAAAAGATGATGTCAGGCACAGATAATTTCATAACCCAAACACAAATACTGCTAACATTTCTATGCATATCCTCCCACCCTTTTTTCCCAATGCATAATTTTTAAGAAAGAAATTATTGCATATATAATTTTTGTCCTGGTATCGTATACTAATATATATGTTTAATCCCAATATTTATCAAAAATTTGTTTCTATCCTGTATTCATGTAGGGAATATACCAGAATTTGCTAAAGATTCTTAAAAATTCTTGGTGTATTTAACATTCCAAAAGACTTATACATTTGGATTCCCATTAGTGATATATGAGAGTCCTTTCAAATACAATTTTACCTCCAATAATGCCAATTACAGGCTCACACCTGTAATCCTAGCACTCTGAGAGGCCAAGGCAGGTATATTGCTTGAACTTAGGAGTTCAAGACCAGCCTGAGCAAGAGCAAGACCCTGTGTCTACTAAAAACAGAAAAATTATCTGGGTGTTGTGGCGGGCACCTATAGGATGCTTAGGCAAGAGGATCTCTTAAGCCCAAGGATTTGAGGTTGCCGTGAGTTATGATGACACCATGGCACTCTGCCCAGGGTATTGGGGTGAGATTCTGTCTCCAAAAACAAAACAAAACAAAGTAAAACAGAACAAAAAAACAGAGCTGGTCTCTATTCTAGTTATGCAAGCTGGAATGATGATTTAGGTACTATTCCTACCCTGGAGAGAAATGTAGTGAAAGTATGTGCTCCCCTTTGAAAATATTAAAATGTAGATATGTAAGTTTAAACACCTTACTCCTCCCTTCCCTAGAAGGAACTTCAGATAGAAAAAGCCCTTGAGACTTGTTTGGTTGCAGAAATGTCCAACCTTTTTTCTTCTCTGCCACACATTGAAAGAAGAAGAGTTGTCATGGGCCACACATTAAATAAACAAACACTAATAAAAGCTGATGAGCAAAAAAAAGGTCCGTGCATAATATTCTTAATATCTGCCACCACAGATAAACAAAAAATTTCTTGCATGATCTGCATGTGGTCAGTGGGCTGAGGTTGGATGCCCCTGATGCCACCTCAGCAACTGTAGTCCCATTCGTTTCTACATCTGAACAAACATCTAGATTATCTGGGGCAAAGTTCTTTCTTTTAGTGGAATGTAGGAATTTGGAGAGCTTATAGTCACAATAAGCATTTATATGTGTATCGGTACTCTGCCCAAACATGTTTTCGCATCATTTAATTTAGTTCTTATATCCTTGTGAAGGCAAATTGTATCCATTTTATAGATGAAGAAACTAGTGCTTAGGTAGTAAGTGCTAGAGCCTATGTTCAAATTCAGGATTTACGTGGATGAGAATGAATATATGAATGAAATGTTGGGATTCCTTAGCAGTTAATAACTATTTAAATTTAAGGTGATAGCATTGGTGTAGGAAATGAAGAGAAGATTAATCTCTTAAAGGTTTTAAAATGTGCTCACATTGCCATTTGGGATGTTGAAGTCTTAATTTCAAATGGAAAGGGGAAAGAAATTGTTGCCAGAAGACCTATGTTAAAGCATTATTTAATCTATGTAATATTAAATATATATTAAAAAGGGCTTTGTGCGTGCCTTATAGTCTTTACCAATGTCTAGATTTTTATTTTCTCAATTGAGAGAGCTCAAAGAAGGGACATTTATGTAAGTCACTCCTACGATATAGTATTAACATTAAAAATATAAGGTTGTTTCAGATGATCTCTAACATCCCTTCTAGATGTAAAGTTCTATGTTACTGTGTTAATTACTTATTTTTATTTAAGATTATATAGTGTGTCTTAACTTGACTCTAGCACTCTTGATTTTTTCTGTGTTTAGTTTTGGAACACTTAAGAATCAAACCTCATTTTAATGTTGCAGTTAGACACTTGACTTGTGGAGTAGAAAATTTAACATTCTGTGTTTGGAATTCAGATGCATTTACCTATAGAAACAATCCTCTAGTCCTCAGTTTTCTGAAATTGCAAAGCCAAAAACCAATTATACAATGTAAACTAGGCATTGGAGAATTACACAGGCAAAGCCAGCCATCATTTCTGACCTGCTTCTTTGGAAAACGTGCATTCTTTTGCAAGACTGGGAGTTAGTTTCTAGGTCTGTCAGACTTTTAACCTTAGAAAAGACCTTAAGGTGATTTACTAAGGAACACATTCTTATTTTAAAGGTAGAGGCTATAGTACTGCTTTGTAACAAAGTAGGGATACATACATCTGTTGTCAATTTTGCATTTTTCTGCTTGAGGTATTCTGAGTGGAGCCTTTTGGTCTACTCTTGGAATAACTAATTTTTGCTTAGGCAAAGTTGCTTATTTTGTTGTGGTATGAGGGCTCTGCCTTTGATTGGATTTTATATTTCCAAGTCTTTATTTTCTTTAAAGGATGAAATATTGGGCCAGCAGGATCTACCACAAGGACGTAGAGTAGTTACCACAAGAGTGATTCATTCAGTTAGGTGGTCAGACTAAAGTGGTGATTCCAACTGGTGATGGGAATAGAGGAACCAATTTGTATTTAGCTATTATATTTAATATATTTAAAAATTTTCAATTAACATTGGAAGAAGACTTAAGATTTTTACATTTATTAAAAGATGGATACTAAGTCATCAATCTAAGGAGGAGGGAAAGCTTAAATACAGGTTTATATTCTCTCTAGACCCAAAGGGACTTAAGCAACATGTCCACATTATGTTCTTCTGTGTTTGTGTGTGAAATTAAAGTTCAGAGAAGTGGTGGTATCCCAAAGTTGTTTAGTTCATAAAAGTTGGGAAGCCAAGATTCAATCCTAGCTCTTCTATACATGTAAAATATGATCAGCTTTTGGCAACCAGAACTATATGTATTCAAAGTGAAGGGAGGGATAGGAGACAATGCAATAGATGATTTTACTACTACAATGAGAACATTTATGGCTTTCAAAATAAGTTTAAGCTTACTTTATTCTGCCTTGGTAGTTGGAGCCTTAGGAGAATGCCTCTGTTGGCATCCAGTTTGTTTCCCTAGTTGTGGAATACAGCATTTGGCTTTTTTTTAGTAGGGATGGCAGAGACCGGTGCGTGTGTATGGAGGGTGTCTTACTGTGTTGCTCAGACTTGTCTTGAACTGCTGACCTCAAATGATCCTCCCAACTTGGCCTCTCAAAGTGTTGGGATTACAAGCTTGAGCCCCTGTGTCCATTGAGAATTTGACTTTTTGTGTGAAATTTTAATCTTTTATCTATTGTTCAGAGAGCGAAATAATTATAAGGTGTTGTCTTTTCATTAAATGGCATACCCATAAGTAGGAGGAGAAATACCAGTGGAGCAGGATTATACACCAGCTCATGTTACACAAAGCCACATAAGATACAGACAGTATTGTATCATCCTGGAAGACTTTGAGCATGTCTAGACTCAAACCTTTATTTCTGGGCCATTTAACTGCTTGTTTTAGTGTGACAAAAGGTAAAGACAGCTGGAAAGTATACAGTGGTCACTTCATTTAAATAACTTGTTGCCTTTTGTCCTGTATAATTCCTCAACAAATAATGACACTTAGTAAATAATGAAATCTGATATAAAATCACTTTTTATAAGGTTAAAGTATGAAACTTTAAATTTGTCTAGTAAGAATAACCTAGATATAACACTGGACGCAGCACACATAGGTACCACAAATACATCTCTAATAATATATCCTTATTCAGGAAGCAAGATTGGCATAGG